GGGGGAGCCGCAAAACCTCGATTTAAAACTTACACTCACTATTTTCTTCGAAAATATACGTGAGTTCCAGAAAAGAACGTGAGTTCCACAAAAATAAAAATATCAATAAATATTAAAAATATATTTTAAAATACTAAATATTAAAAAACTATTGATTTATTATTAATTAATTCGCTCATGATTTCCCTAATTAGCTAATTAATTAGTTAATTAGTTCTTAATGGTCTGTAATGAGGAGGATAGCGGTTGCTATGGAAACATATCCAATAATCTATGATTCGCGCCGTATGGTTGCTAGGGAAACGCAATGATCTTTGACCTTTGACCCCGGTTGCTAAGGTCTGTAACGTTCTCTTTCAATGTTGCTATGTGTCTGTAATGGGGGATGGGGGGAGGGGAGGGGGGAGAGCCGCGAAACCTCGACTTAAAACTTACACTCACTATTTTCTTCGAAAATATATGTGAGTTCCACAAAACACTGACGAATCTGTATCCCATCGTGATGGTACGCCATCGTCCGCTTCTTTGTATTGAAACTTTTCTTTTCGACCTTGCCCTTTAGCCATTGCAATGCGCAATGCTTCATACGTTGGATTATCGTTTGGAGCAGCAAGATTGTAAACTAGAAACAAAATTCAAGGTTCAAACGAATTCTATTGTTTTCCAGGAAACTTACGTTGCCCATCGACAATATTGCACGGAGCTCGTCCTACAGCGACATAATCTTCGGCAAGATCATCGATATGAATCCAACTCCAACGCATATCCCTTCGTCCTTGAATAACTAAAGGTTCTGAATAGAATAGATCGGCCACGAACCACCTTGACCACCGCAGACAAAGCCAGGCCGTATAACTGTTGTCTTGAGTGACGCACAAGAGCTAGCCAAGACATAATTTTCATAATCTCCTCGTTCCTTCATGTTCGTGACATCGGCCGACGAGGAACTAGCACTTTTTTACATCAATTGAGGTCGTGGCTTAATTGTTTCATCGACCGGACGACGACCCGTTGGAGATGTGTCACCATCTAGGGAAAATATGACTAGATTAATGCAACAAGATCTTTTGTGATTTTTTCAATATAGACAAGTAAGAACTTGATTTGACTCAAAAACATGTTCTTTATATGATTATTTGTTAACTTTATGACGACCCAGCATCTCTTGAAAACCCATGTGAAATAAAAAGTGCTTATGATCTTTCAGTTACGTGAAAAATTGAAAGTTTTTAGGATGGATATCTTGTATTGTAAACGTAACTTTTTACTAAGTAAAAGCTATACTAAAAAAGTAGTAATTCATTCCTTGACCGAAGGTTGAGCTACAAGCAAAAAATGAATTCTAAGATTAGTCTACTTGTATGTATCATATCGTGTGCATATTTGTTACAAATTTAAAAGTCATAATGTCTGAAGTGAAGATAAAAAGTGGAGCATATTGTGCTAATTTTCCATTATGAGTTCGACCATTTCCGGATCGAAGTGCTGCTTCCAAAAGTAAAAGTGACAGTTTTTGGTTGAATCCGACAGCATCGATAATAATCGAACATGATGCAAGAATATCAGCAACTTGTTGAACTTCGTCGAATGATGAAGCTACTATAGGTTCGATCTCATTTTGTATTAACTTAGTAGAGTGTTTCGCATCACAAATCATTCCATACACTCGATAACCAGCGCGGCGCATGGCCTGAGCTGCACCAAGACCAATGTAGCCACTAGCACCGAAGACAAACACTGATGATGATATTCTTTAAAAAGTGAGTCTAAAAGCCAATTCAAGATCAGTCAAGTTCTCTTCTGTATCCAGTTAGATGCGCGAAGAAACACTTTAGACCTCTTTTTCTTTGTTCGACTAAATAAACTGTATCATTATCTTTAACATAATGGTAAAGAAACCATACGCCAGTTACAATATTTTTCTGGGAAAACAAAGAGTAGGTATTGTGTTTCGACAATCTCATTGTAGCCTACCTTCTTTTGCACTCAACTACTTGTCAGATTAAATGCATGCATCGTCATAGAGAAGAAGTTTGCGTGTTTTTATATCATTCTCTTGTATGCGCATTATAATAATAATAGACTGTAAAGGGGAGAAGAAAGACAGCTACTATTCTTTTCTTTCATTGTTGCATTGATACACAACAGCACAAGATTAAAAAAGATTTGATAAGGTTGATTCTTTTTTTTTCTTGCGTCCTGCTCAAATAATATATGAAAGCAAAGAAGTATCTAAAACGCATGCATCGAAGAAAACTTACCGCAGCCTGTTAGACAAAATCCGCCCAATAGGGGAACAATAGGAAGATTACTGAAAAATTAATCATAGATTTTTTTTTCAAGTCTTAACAATTACATCATAAAAAATGTTTTGCGTATTGATTAAATATTTTTCACTACTAATGGAAATCAAACTACTTAAACCATATTATGAGTAATCAGGTTTATCAGTCGCACTTCTTGAAATGATAGTAATACAGTTGTTGATTAAGCACGTTATAAATTGATGAAAGAACAAAGAAAAGATATTTCTATATGAAACAGAGTGTACCTGTCGAACAATCTTCTTTCATCTAATCTTTGTAATCTACACACATTCTATAAAAAAGTAATTACACTTTTTGTCTCGATATCTGAGAGTTATTCCAGATGTGAAAAACCATCAAAGTTCAATTCTCAAATTGATAAAACTATAGTAAAATTCTTTGGGAAGTCATGTTCGTAATTTTATAAACTTTCGTGAGTTTTTTTATGCCCAAATTGAAATATGAATATTATTGTGCCCAAGGGTGTGGGTGTGGGTGTGTACCTAAAAAGGAGGCACAGGGTGGG